AAAAAAAAAAGAAAAGAAAGCAAGGAACATTGGGGATGGGGGAGGCAGGACTCAAGATGTTGCCTGGACCATCATCCCAATGGCTGCCACAGCAGACAACTGGGAAACAGCTGTTTAATGACCAAATGCCATGACCCACCCCGGCCAGGGCTCCAGGGCTACCAAATGGAGGTAAAGACCCCCAGACCCAGCGCAGGTGTGTTCCAAGACATCCTGTCCACGCCCGCCTGCCACTCACACCTGCTGCGGCCTCTCACCTTCCAGCTCATCTCCTCCTCCTTCTCCTCGGTGCCATTGTGGATGTAAACAACGTCAAAGAAGAAATATGGGCACTGGAACATTTTCTGTGGGGCAAGTAAAGAACACCAGCCTCTGGGGCTTGGGTCACCCCATGCCCCACGTCTATAACTCCCTTATTTCTGCCTCAGACTCTGGGAACTTGCCTCTAGGCACCCCAGCCTCTGTGGTTGGGAAGTCCCTCCTGGTGTCTAACCACCATCCTCATGGCTGCAGGCACCCCTCCCTCTCCCAGGCCTCACCCACCTTCATGGGCTCTGTCAAGGAGAACTGGGGCTGGCAGGGTGGACGGCTGTAGACGAGGATGGTGCGGACCACATATGGCGGGGGAATCGTCTGCACGTTCTCTGTGACCGGAAGCTCAGTTTTCTGCTGGCTGCATACCCGGGAGGAGGGAGCAGTCAGAGCAGCCTGTGGGGGTCTGTCCCTCTTATCACCCTCAGAGAGACCCTAGATGCTCACCGGGCAGGTGAGGCCCCACTGATGTCTCCCAAATTCACTGCTGCCTGTGAGGCATCCCGTAAGCGGTTCCCTCTGCCCTGAGCATGTGGCCAGCCTCACCCCTCTGAGTGCAATGGTGAGATCTCAGCTCACTGCAACCTCTGCCTCCCGGGTTCAAGGAATTCTCCTGCCCCGGCCTCTCAAGTAGCTGGGATTACCGGCGCCCATCACCACGTCCAGCTAATTTTTGTATATTTAGTAGAGATGCACTTTCACCACGCTGGCCAGGCTGGTCTCAAACTCCTGACCTCAGGAGATCTGCCTGCCTCGGCCTCCCAAAGTGCTGGGATTACAGGCCTGAGCCACCACGCCTGGACCACCCTCAGTGTCCTGAGCATCCCCCATCACTGCTGTCAGCTGGAGCTGCCTAGCAACACGTGCATCTCCATCGGCCCCCATGCTCCCAAGACACATAAATGAGGAATTGCTCAGGGCGAGGTTGGAAGGGAGGAGGCTTTATGGCTCCCTAGATTATTTCTGGGCTACTTGGGGCTTCTTCCCACAAGTGACCCTTCTCTTTGAAGGTAAGAATTTCTCCGCAGGGGACTTACATGAGGCTGAAAAGTCCTTCCAGATCTGGTGGGGACGCTAAGGAGAAGGCTGGTAGAGCACGAGTGAGCAGGAACAGGTGGCTTCCCTGGTCCTGACGCCAGAGGAGACCCGGCACCCCTGCAGACGCACCATGTGACCCTGGCCAAGTCACTTGCCCTCTCTGATACTCGAATTCCCCTCAGCATGGATCACAAAATAGGGTGCTGGCACCAGATGACTTTAAGACTCTTGGTATGCCAGGCACAGTGGCTCATGCCTGCAATCTCAGCACTTTGGGAGGCCAAGGCGGGTGGACCACCTGAGGTCAGGAGTTCGAGATCAGCCTGGCCAACATGATGAAACCCCATCTCTACTAAAAGTACAATATTAGCCGGGCCTGGTGGCGCATGTCTGTAATCCCAGCTACTTGGGAGGTTAAGGCAGGAAAATTGCTTGAGCTCGGGAGGTGGAGATTGCGGTGAGCCGAGATCATGCTGCTGCACTCCAGCCTGGGCAACAAGAGCGAGACTCCATCTCAAAAACAATAATAAATAAGATCCACAGGGAGCCATGGGAGGTTTTGGAGCAGAGATGGGACGGAATCTAACTTGTTTTAAAACAGAATGGGGCCGGGCATGGTGGCTCATGCCTGTAATCTCAGCACTTTGGGAGGCTGGGGTGGGAGGATCACTTGAGCCCAGGAATTCAAGACCAGCCTGGGCAACATAGCAGGACCCTGTCTCTAAAAAACATACAAAATTCGCCGGGCGTGGTGGCTCAAGCCTGTAATCCCAGCACTTTGGGAGGCCGAGACGGGCGGATCATGAGGTCAGGAGATCGAGACCATCCTGGCTA